TTTGTTCCACAGTAGAAAATCCTGTGGTAGAGCTAAGTGAAATTTTAGCTTGCCTCCACGAATAGCTTGCTTTCTTTATAGCCATGATCAACAGTCAAGCTATGCTTGTGAGAGAGGCATCTTGGTAGCTGACCCAGGATTCAAAAGTTGCAGCATAGGGCTGAACAGTCTGCAATGCAACATGGCTATAATGTCACAGACATCTTCCTGCATTTACAGAGTTGAGCCTCTGTCCTCTGCTGAGACTCTCTGAGAGCATGCTGTTTCATATCAACGTTCTGCCCTCAAATTCTCAGTGAACAACTAATTTCTTTTTTTGTGTTGAAAAATTTAAAAAACAGTCTTATTCCCCAAAGGGCTTGGTCACAGCCATAGTTGGCCCAGAACCTGCTTCTGAAACCATCCAGCAAGGGAGGAGTCTCACACCAGGGCCACAGAAGAAGGTCTGATCATCTGAGAATTTCCTAGTAACTCGGTGCAGTCCCTCAGCAGTGGGTCCAGCTCTGTCCTACAAGCACATGGACCTAGGGGAGGCATGGCTAACTTTGCCAGGACCTTCTCATAGCTGATGCTGAATGGTTCCTGGGTTTTCGTGAAGTCCTTTGGGCTGTGGTCCAGGAACAAAGCAACCTATGTGAGAGACCCGCCTACTTCTGACACTGGATCAGGCCTGTTGATTTTTAGTTTCCAGTAGATCTTGACATGTCTGGAGCTCAGGTAAGCACCTCCCAACTATAGTCTTGGAACAGCTATGTCCAGCCAGAGTTCTATAGGGACATACTTCTGAAGTCTCTAGGACAGGCTTATCTGCCAGTGTCCTACAATGACTCTTCTGTGATTCAAAGACTTGGGTGGGTCTTAGTCCTAGTTCTTTGTAGCTATGCACTGAGAAAGGCTTGCCTGCATAAGACTGGAAGGAAACATCTCCCACAGTGCCCTTGTAGATTCTTGGGATGGCCCTACACCTGGGCTCGAGTTCCTTTTAGCCACAGATCAGAACAGTGTGGCCCACCTAGGAATCTTTCTAGCATTTCATCAGGGTCATCTAGAGACACAGAGGAAGAGACTCCATTCTATGAACCCAGCACCACGTTTTCTGTATAAAAGCTCTATCACCAGCCCCAAAGAACTCAGTTCTGGGGCAGTCCGTCTTATCCAGGATAAAGCAGGATGCACACTCCTTAGAACTCTGATGTCCATCAACTGCGGCTTCCACTGCAGATGCAGTTTAAACCGCTGACTTAATCACACAAAAGACAAAATCAGTGAAGTCAAATGCAGGTTATTTTAATAAGATAGTCAGTGGGCAAAAGCAAGAAAAAAGGAGTAAATGAATCATGGTCGACTGAAGGGATACCTTCAGATTTACAGTGATGGGAGTTCCAGATGGAGAGGAAAGAAGCAACAGGCAGAAAGCAGTGTCTGGAAATACCCTGAATCCTGGGAGAGACAGAGAAATTCAATTCCAGAAAGTTTGAAATACCCCTAGAGCAATCAATTCAAACCAGCACAGTCAGCCGTATTAATCAAACTCTCAAAAGAGAGAATTCTGAAGCAGCAAAAGAGAACAAAAGTATCATACATAAGGGAACAGCCTTCAGATTCTCAGACAAAATCTAAGGAGAAACCACAAACATCAGGAGAGCTGGAATACTGCATTTATAGTGTTAGAAGGAAAAAGAACTCCCAAGCAGGAATACAATGTTGTCCTTTAGACTAAAGGCTGAAGGAGTCTATCATCATGATGGCCACAGTAGTGCTAAAAGAAGTCATCAATCTGTTATGAACAAAATGCTAAATAATGCACAAAAATGTATGAACATGAAAGCTTATCAACCTTGCCCCGGGGTTGATGGCACTTACCAGCATGTGGCTCTGATAAAAGAAGAGGTCTGAGAGAAAAGCAGGAATGTCTGCCATCACTTCCGCATGTATGGGTGTGTTTACTCCTGCTGCCATCCTCCACTGACACCAAACTCCAGCTACTTCATTCTGGCCAGGTAAACTAAGCACCAGCAACTCTTCAGGGGAGTCCTGGGCTTTTGATGCTGGGTGGAACTTCTGAGGCCTCTAGCATTATAGACTGAACAGCTACCAGGTTCTATGTCTCTCTAGTGTTCAGGCAGGCACTGGACTATCCTGTCCCCACTGTGTGAGCCAACCCAATAAATTCCCTTTCCCCTTTGTAACACACACACACACACACACACACACACACACACACACACACACACACACATACACGATCACTCCGTCCACCCCGCCCCGCCACTACAGTTCTTTGTACAGACACACTGGTCTCAATTCACATAGAAGATGAACTGAAACTGTTTGTGGGTATATATGGGTACACACGCGTGTGTGCATTTGTATGTGGGCATGTATGTGTATTTGTGTGTGTATATTTCTCCCCCCAAATAGACAAGAACAATCAAAACAGACAAGAAGTAAATAAAGGCAACTGAAAGTATAATACAACTAGAAGTCAATTCTTTGAAAAGATAAAATTGATACAAATTTAGAAAGATTAAAAAAGAGAGAAATCTCAAAACATAAATGAACAAGAAGATATTGAAATGCTCTATAGGAACCAAAAGGATCATCTATGGCAACTGGGAACAATTTATACCAATTATTTGGATAATCTAGAATATTAAGATAACATTAAAAAATAAGTTCCAAGTAGCACACAAATGACTAAGACTGAATCAGAGAGGCAGAAAGTCTTAGTGAGTCATTATGGAGGCTGGGTCAAGAGTTCTGATCCTCATCAAAGAAAATGTGAGGACCTGGTCGCATTACTGAGTTCTATAAAGCATTCAAAGAAGAAACAATACCAACGCTTCACAAACTCTTCCAAAGAATCAAAGAAGACAGAACACATCTAAGGTAATTTCAAAAGACTATCATTTACTCTGTCTGACCCCAAAACCAGACAAAGACACTACAAGCAAACACTAGTATGAAGAACACATGCACATTAACCAATACATTCAACAGGATAATTAAATGATCATTCATGTGACCAACTGGAATTTGTCCTTGAGATGGAAGTATTATTAAGTACAAACAATAAACATGGCACATTGCACCAAGAGAATGAAGGGTAAAAATCACATGATCATTTCAAAGGATACAGAAGAAACATTTGACAAAATTCAACACCATCTCATTAAAAAAAAATCTCAAAAAATTATGCATGGATTATACCCCAACAAAACCAAGGAGTATTAAAAAAGAAAAGCCATAGCACACATTATACTCAGTGATGAAATGATGAATACTTCCTCTGTAATTGGGAATAAGAGAAGCATGCCTATTCTTACTGCTTCTATTTGGCACAGTACTGGATACTAAACAGCAAGTAGGCAAGAGAAAGGAAAACCTACACATATGTATAGGAAAGGAAGAAATGAAATTGTCTCTGTTGATGACTTGATCTTCTATGCAGAAAACACCACAAAGACTTCATAAACACATATAAACAAGCCATTCAAATTGACATGTGGGCTCATTACAACTAGAAGATACAAAATCAGCATGCATAAATCAGTAGTGTTTCTGAACACTGGGAACAAACTATACAAAAATGAATTAAAGAAACAATCCCCTTTGCAAAATAATAAAATAGGAGAAATTCAAGGAAGTTCAGCATCTAATCACTGAAAGCGACAAAACACTGATGAAGGTAATTAAAGAAGTAACAAATATATGTAGTTACACTGAGTTTTCATGGATTAGGAATATTAATATCAAATGTCCACACTACGAAAAGCAGCTACATTAGATGCTAGCAACCAGCTGCAATGCCTGGTCCAGAAGATCTGGCACCCTCTTCTGGCCTCTGCTGATACCTACACCTGTTTGCTTGCACACCTCCCAAATAAAGAAAAGATTTATTTTTATTTTAAATGAGCACCTGAAGTCTGGGGACATGTGCATGTAAACACAGCTGTTGTGGAAACCAGAAGATGGTGTTGGATTCCATGGAGCTGGAGTTACAGGTGGTTATAAAATACTATGTGGGTACTGGGGACCAAACTTAAGTCCTCTGGATTAGCAGTATAGGTTCTTAACCACTAAGCCATCTCTCCCTTCCTAACAACAACAACAACATCAACAAATCTTGAAAAAAATTATCCTGATTCAGTCATCATGTACTGTTTGTGAAATACTCTGTACCCCAAAAAGACATAGATCACTATGTATCTTTAAAAAAGAAGCCTGAGAACACACATATGCTCATACCGCTCATCACACAGTACAACTTCATACACGCATGGTACTCATGCCACATATTAAATGGTACAACCATGCACACATATTTTGTGACACATTAAGGTTCAATTTAAAACAAGGTGTTTATACTATGCCTTTTCTAACTGAAGATGGTAGGCAGGTCACTGTTCCCTATCTCTGGCTTCTGTAAAAACTCAAGCAGGGATCCCAGGCCTCTCAGACTGGTGCATGAGCTTTCACAGATACATCTTGAAACTACATTGTTAACAGGGATTCCATTTTTGAACACAGGAGCTGACCTAACCCTCTTACTTTATTAATGGAGAAAATGAAGATCACCAAGTTCAAATGACTTTTCAATGTCTATTTGCATTTTAGAAAACTATACAATCTTTTATAATTGAACCTCTTCTGTTGGTACTTAAAGCTGAAGACAGAGTTTCTTCTTTTTGGACTATTTCCTAAGCAATGACAATTGCTCTTGCTAGAAGGTAGAACAGTTCCTACTTAAAATAAATAAAATAAAGATCAGCCACTACAACTGCTTCTGTATCCCTTTCCTTGTGGTCTTCAATACTTCCTCAAATGCTACCCTGCAGAGACAATGCCTGTGCTTGACAACAGTGTGGTCAGACACTGAAGCTGTGGCTGGAATTGGCAGACTGAGGGGTGAGCCAGACTTTCCCACAGTGCTGAGTTCACTGCCTTTCCCTCCTGTGCCAGGTTCACCAGTTTTCCCACTCCCAACACTGGTCACATACCTGAGCTTTTCTGTTCCAGCCTTGTACCTGGAGATCCGAGCCATGGACAAAGGGACTGACAAGGTGTCTAGCCAGCGCTTCTCATACTTTGGTTCATTAGCTATGGGTGAGGAAGGTGATGATGGAGCCTGTGCAAAATAAGCAAGAGTCAGTCAACACAGGACCAGTCAGAGCACTGTTCTCTGGAGAGACTTATGACTGAGGCAGCCATCCCGCAAAACTCAGATTAGCCCACTCCAACTGATGAAAGCATACAAGATCACTTCTCAGAGAGCCAGGCAGAATGCAGCTCCTATGTTTGAATATAAAAGCTTTAAAAATATGTTTTAAACATTATTTTATTTTGCAAAAAAGGGAAGAAAGCTAAAAGAGAGGTCAGAGAGAAATGCATTTGGAGGAAAACCTCACAGTTACAACAGAACTTAACTTAAAAACCTTACGGGAAAGTAGTTCAAAACTAGCCGAACTGATGAATGTCAGAGGCCCATTAATGTGGACAAAATGGAATTGGCTTCTATTGATGGCAAATGAATCCCATCTATGAGATGTATTTCTAGACCAAGATCAGATCTTGAGTTTCTTTATTAGATACTCAGAAAGATGGGAAGTCATACCTCTTCTTGACCTGAGAGGGGCACAGTTCCTAAGAGGGTGACTACAGCTCTTTCATCTTAATTTTTAGGCTTTGGAGATCCTAAAGGTCATGACTTTTAACCTCAGACATCAGGTACTTTTGAACGGAACTGTGACAAAACTTTGTCTAATGAAATGGTAAAAGTTGACTCATAAAATGCCTTTATAACACAAGTTTTAAAAGAACCATGGAATCTGCTACAAAGAGAATAAACAACAAAATAATCAAGTCCCTGGGTTTAGAGAGGGTAGGAAGCTAGAAAAGCCACTTAGCCATGGTGTCCAGGACCAGATCTGAGGCTTATGAGCAGAACTCTCAAAGGTAGGGACACACTCTAATCCAGGACCTGGTCATGTATGCCCAGTGTAGAGTCACTATGGAGTGGGGAAATTCTGCTTTCTCACTATCTTTCTTCTCTGAAGAGTGTCTTATTGTAATCAACCTGGCCCATATCCTGTGTCAAGTAAGAGAAATATGGCTTCTCCATTGGTCTCATATGTTCACGTGAAGATCTGTCTTGAGGTTCACACTGGAACCTGAGCTAAGAGCCTCATCATACAGGTCTGGTTTTGGTGAGGTTACTTGGTCCAGTTGCCCAGACCTGAAGCTGAAGAGGTATATCCTTGGGGATGTGGAGAGGATATAAAAACTCTGCCAACAGGAAGAAAGGCTGTGAGCTTGTAGAAAAAGTCTAATTCCCCTGGTTCGTTCTCCCCTGTAGCGTAGGCCTTGGGCATGGGTGCCTCATTGATCAATACGAATGACAACTTTTTTGGAAGCTCACCCTTGGGCACTTCTGACAGGCAGCAAGGAATCTCCCAAAACCCCAGGGACCTGGTGAGGATAGGTGTTAGTTGAGTGGGCACCCTCCAGAAGACCAGACTCTGAATGACCTCTGAGGTCAGCTACACTAAGCAACCATTCCTAACTTGCAGATTATTTAATGAATAAGACACTTTATTTAAAAAAAAGGGATGACCAGGACATTCACAAAAACCAGACACAGCAGCTGTGAGACAATAATTATGAAGGAACAATCGGATTTGCCTCCGTGCATTGTTTCCAAAAGAGTCACACAGCAGAGGGGCCCTGCCAGACTTCCTGTTGTGCATTCTCAATCAGCTACAGTGCTCCATAGTTATTCAGGAAATAGGAAACAGGTTCTGTTGGTGAAAAGAAGAATGTGCTAACAAGAATAGTAACTGTTAGAAATGTGTTTTTCTTTATAGCAATATGGATTAACTAAAATATTTTAAACTTTATTCTCACCCCAACAATACGTCGTACTGAAAATTGTGTTGATAGTTACGATTCTTTAGGCTCAGTTCCTACAAGCCTCATGTCCAACTGCATCAGGCTGAACCAGCCACTGAGTATTAGATGAGATAGTTCCCTGAACCTGCCTTCTTGTTGGCAAAGGCATGCCCTTCATCCTGAGACAGTGGCTTCTATAAGCAGTTGAGAGATACTTATCTACGGGGGGGGGGGTAAATGCTGACACCAAAATACCACATCAGAAGATGTGACATTGTGAGACCTCCTGAGGCATTCTGCAACTGTGATGAGAGAGGTAACATGTAAGTGTCTGAGGTGTCACCTCTCTGGATATGCATCTGGATGTCCAGAGAGTCAACTGCACCTCCACTCGGGGAACCTCGAAATCACTGAGCTTGACAGCTAGCATCTGTGTCTGTCTCTGACCTCTTGGTTCCCTTCTGGACATTTGCCCTAAGCAGCCTTTCCCCTGTGTGTTTGTCTGAGGGTTCTGCTAGATATGGAGATCCTGGCTCTCCTGGGTTTCTCTTGTAACCTGGTAGATTATTTCTGCTTTGTCACAGAGTCCAGCTAAGCCAGAATCTGCACCTGTCCCCTTGCCTTTGAAGTCGGAAGAATAGCTCATTGTTTCTTTCCCATTGTCCTAACACAGACTCCTAGAGGGGTGCTTTCCTGTAACCCGCCTTGCTGTCAGGGTTGGCAGTCTTCAATCATCAGGTTCTTGTTGCTTGAAAGCAAAGGCCTTGCTTTATCCAGCTTAATGCTTTTATAACTGCTGCCTCCTGTCACTTGGAATTTTCTTGTCTGAGAATGGTGCTACATAGGAAGCCTAGGTTGGCCATTTAGATTGCCATGTCTGTGTCTGACAACATGTAGCCTATTGGCTTAAAAGCCTCACTGTGCATATAAGTCACGTAGGCAATTTCTCAAAGACAAAACCCCCAGTCCAGTTTCAATAATAATGTGACCCTGGACTGTTTCGGTATCCAGGTCACCCTGACACCAGTTTAGTCCAGCACCATGGAATGCGGTTTGGGTGCAGTTGTCACTCCAGGTGGGATCCTCTACTCCTCTTATACCTTGATCTGTTGGCCTTCAACTTCCCATGTTTGTGAGCTGCATAAATGTACGTTAGCATAGCATTGACATAATTTTGTAAACAAATTTTGACTCGACTTTCCACTCAGTGGAATGAAATGCAGTGCTTAACACTGTTTAAAATGATTTCACCTTGGAGATGAGCATCAAGCGATGCTTCCCGAGGTCTGGCTGGTAAAACCACAACAAGCAGGTAGAGCGAGGTGACATCTAGGGCCTTGTCAGTTAACTCGTGTCCTGCCCTTGCTTCGCCTGAGCACAGTTTGTGACTTCTTGCTATATAAAGTTCATCTCTGTGATATCAATTTTTAAAAGCACCTGGAAAGTACCCGAGGACTTGCTAAAGGTATGGATCATGGATACTCTGATGTAACATGCAATAAAACTCATTGCTCAGTAGAGATTAGTAAGAAGAGGCCATGCAAAGTGTCAGTTTGAATGCAAACAAGATATCCCAACACAGCTTTTGGTGTGGTGTGGTGTGTTTCTGGCATGAAACTCATCATAGAGTGCTGCCGTATCTCAATGTTGTTTGTAGGTAACCCTAGAATGATTTCAGTTTTTAAAGAACGCTTTGATCAACACACAATCACTAAACCTAGGACAAGAGTCTGTTTCTAGCTGTGTGAACACTTCATGTTCAATTTAAAATAATAATGGCTGCTCAGCAGATAAAACCTGCCTGTGGGTCTCAGCTTGCAATTTCCATCTTCACAAATCCTGCTGGGGCTGTGAGCCCTTGGTAATGTGATTTCAGAGAACAAAACTGCACAAACATAATAAAAAAGAGCAATATTTGACCAGAGGAGAGAAAAACCGATGCCCCCAGGAAAGCCCTGATTGAAAGTGAAAGCCTCCAGACAGTATCCGTGTGCGCGTGGCTAGTGCCATTCCCAAAGGGGCTTGGCCGACTCTCTCCTTGGAGGGAGCTGTCATCTATAAGTACCTGAAAACTGCTTTTAAAAGATTTCTGTGAGAAGTCACAAGTGCCACTGTATCTTGTGTCTGTGCAAGTTTACTGCTGACAGTGTCTAAGGTCTGGCAGGGAAGCCCATAGTAAGCGACAGAGGAGACGCCCACTGCGTTATGAGCAGCTTGTATCCTTCCTATGTTTTACACGTGCACAGCCTGCTCTAGCTGTGCCCACTCCTTATTTTCTGGGCTATAGCATCTGACAAAGAGAGAATAATGTGCGATTAAAAAAATTGAAGAGAGTGGACAATCCTGTTCTACTAGATTTGAAGAAAAAAAAATAAACTTCAAAAACATGTACTGACATAGAAGAGTCAGGCAGCTGTCAGGATTCCTGCCCCGTGGGTCCTAGCTCTGTGCATACGTTGTCCTGTGGACACCAACCTCCGTGCATGCCTGACCCTGTACACACCTGGCCTGTGAAACCTTACTCCATCAACATTGGCTCTTTGCAACCTGGTCCTCCTCATGCCTGGCTCCTTGGATACCTGGCTCCTCCCATCCCCTCCTCACTGGTGGAAGGACAGCCTAGGAGGAGGGGTTTCAGGGCCCAACGTATCCAGAGTCCCCACACCTATAGTCCGCATCCAAGGGCTCAGAAAAACAAAAGACAGACTGACTGCAAGGTCAAGGTCTTGACAAAGGCTCTCCTGTCCTCAGAGGTATTTAGAGGAGTTTACACTGTAAACCACAATTGGAGTAGAAACATGCTGTGAACGGTGGGTTTGCTGCCATCCCCACCTGCCTCAGTAAATTCTCATTATGCTCTGCTGCAGAAGACGACTAAGGAGGCACAAAAAATGCTCAGGTTTCTTCCCCACAGCTGAGAGGTGTGTCGCTATTGCTGTGATAAAACCCCCCAGGAAAAAAGAGGGAGTAATTCACTCCAGCTGTTTCAGAGCTTATGGCTCATGGCTGGCTCCATGCTGTGGGCCTGACCGAGGGGCTGAGATGCTACAGGGGAAGACCAAGGTGTTGTTTACCTGCTACTCTCCTCATAGCTGTGAGAAATACCTGACAGCTTAAAGGAGGGCAGACTCATTCTGGCCCACAGCTTGAGAGCATACAGCCCACGATGTTGGAGAAAGCATGGTGGCAGTCACAGCTTGCACTAGAACAGCAGGCCCTTTGCACCCAGCGGTTACCCGGTTGGAACTGCACAGACCTGTGTCTGCCAGCTATTTAAAGAAAGGTTCCACAACTGCCTCAAACAATGCCGCCATCTGGGGACCAAGTATCCAAACACTGAGTGTGTCAGAGTTATTTCACATTCAGACAGGAATGTGGGAGAGAGCTTCTGACCTTAGGGTAGCCTGGAAGCTGAGTGAGCAATAGGAAGGGGCCAGGATAAGATATACCCCCTCCAGTGTCATGGCTACCACTTTCAACCAGACTTCACCTTGTGGTGTCTACCGCCTTCCAATATTATCATCATATGACTACTCTATCAGCAGACTAACACATTTAGCAGGTGATGATCAAACCACCTTTGACTGACTGGATCCAGCATCTGGGGACCCTCCTTTGACAGATGACTGTTTGGAGGGATGTGCCATATCTAAACCTTAAAAGGTAACCAAAGCCCACTTCTAAATGCGGTGAACAAAAATAAGCTTAATTCTTGCTTTTTATACCAGGCAGGAACTTCCATCAACCCAAGACAACTCCACAGCAGTTCCCCAGTGGCAACAGAGAGCTTGCCACATTCCGCATTTCAGGCCAGAGAACCACCATTTAAAGTACACCGTGCTCATGGAAGAAGGAATACCCATACTCCCTTCTCTGTAGGGTCCTTGGAAGATGAGCCCCAGCTCTCTATTACTTGGGCTTCTGCTCCTAGACATTAACCCTGAGCAGCTGCCTCATAGAGCAGGCCTCTCTCCCAGATGGGCACTGCCCCTTCCCGCCTCCTCTGCCTCCATGAAGGGTTACTTCACATGGGCCAGCACAGGAAATTGCTTGGCACAAAAGCTGTCTACTTATGCCGTGGCAGCTCTGCCAAAGAACAGTGTGCAGACCCTAAGCTTTCCTGGATGACAGCAGGGTGCTAGGTTAGCAAACAGTACTTCAGGGCACCTATGCTGCAAAACATACAGCAAGCACAAACCTCCGGTCCAGGACGGGACCCTCCTCCTCTCTTCCTATGTGGGGGTGAGGATACAGGAGAGGTAAGTCTGATAGTTCCTCCCTGCATTCCTGAGATCAGTGAGTTTGTGATATCGTTCCCCTTCTGTAGAGGCACAACTGGACAGAGAAGAGTCAGGCCAGGATATTCTGAGTCAAGATATACAATTTCATTCTGAATTACCACCATAGGCAATTGCCCCACCCCCAACACACACACACACACACACACACACACACACACACACACACACACACACACACTACACACATACACACTCATAACCATCCCAGTGCCTGTTATTTTCCGGGGAAAACCCTGCAGAACAGGAAACAAGCTGGAGAATGTGGTATTAAAGGTGATTTTAACAGCTGGAGGAATTGGAATCGGTTCAAACATAATTGCACCCATGTATTCACAACAGAGATGAGAAAACAGGAAGCTCTGGAAGTTACAGGGAGCTGCCCCCACGTCTGATGCCCAGAGGATGCTCAAAATGCAGAGGACGGCTGTGAAAGGGTGGCTCAGCGGACTGGACATCTGCACTCTACTTCTCCAAACAACACAGATTTTGGAAAAGGGCCTTACCTTATTAAAATATGGGCCTTAAATAAAAATTGCAGTGATTTTAAATGTGAATCTATGCTGTAGGTTAAATATGAAATGTCTCCCATAGGGTTCCATTTTAAACGCTGAGTCCCTAGCCTCTGGACCGTTATGAAGGACCTGGAATCTTTAAGAGGTGGGGCCTTGCTGGGTAAGGGGGTCAGCGAAGAGTTGGAGGGCTGCATTTCAGGCTCTGGCCTACAGTCTCTGCTCTATTATGGTATAAGCAGCCAGCTACCACAAACTCCTCCTTGCCTTCCCATCATGATGGGTTGAAAACCCTCCGAAACTGCAATCCAAATAAATCCTCTCTGAGGTATTTTGCCACAGTGCAGAGAAAAGTAATTAATAAAACTGTTTAGAGTATAATTGTCTAACTGACTTTTATAAATAGGTCTCATCTTATGGGGGGGGGAGAAAGATATACATCATCTGTGTTTGCTAAAAAAAAAAAAAAGCAAGTCCAGATTTGAATGTAGTATGAGGGAAGTATTTTTTCCAGCAAGATCCAAATATAGATAAAGTATAGTCACATTTCAGGGTGAATCTCAGGACAAATAAAATATGGACTTCTTCAAAAAGAGACTTACAAACAAATAGTTTTCAGGATGCAGAGGTGTAAGGATGAGAGACGAGATGCAGCTAGCTGTAAAAATTTGCACCGACTTCCCCAGTTTAGGAGGAAAAAGTTTTTTTTAAGAAAGCACTTTTTAATAACCAGGTAATGAAGATTGCTGTCAGTATGTAATTTAGGGTAACTATTTGATGTCAGAGATGATGGGTTATTTTGACTGATGCTCTGCAGCCCCCTTTAGAAGAACTATTCCTAGTAGATCTTACATATCTCTTATTGTGAAAACAGAGATTCCCTGCTTCATTTCAGGGAAAAGGCATGCCATCACTCCGTCAATCTTGTCACTTTTCTCTCAGTGTTGGTGACTGTGTTATGGTAAATTTTACAACAGCGGTTATACGCCTCCTGGTTTTATTGTCTTGTTACATGTAATAATCACGCCACCACGCCACGGTCAGCCGTAGCTCACCTATTCCTTCTTTTGTGATTCAATGCCCCCAGTGGGCACCAGCCATGCCTTCCCATGCTCCTAGCTGGGTACCTTCAGGTGCATCTTTCGGGAAGCAGGACTAAGATGTCTACCTCAGGTCCTTTGTCAAAGAGCAAAGTGTAAAAGCGCCGAAAGTGAGGTCTACAGTATAAGTGCTCTGCAGACAGTAATGGGCCTTCTACTGTGAGAGCAGAAAATGGCTCTTCATCAATGATGCAAATACGGAACTGCGAGTATCATCAGCTCATCAATGATGCCTGTATCTAGGGTAATACAGGACAACAGTCACTAGAGCCATTTGCTTTCCTCTGCTGACTTGTGTCAACTGACTGTCAATATGTTACCCAGACTGGCTTTTTCAAACTCCCAAGCTCAATTGATATTCTGTCTCTGTTTCTGAGTAGGTAAGATGATAGCTGTGCTGTTGTGGCTGGCTCAAAACTAATTTTTTTTAAACTCAAGTGATGGCTGTGAAAATCAGGATGCTGCTTGTCTACGGACCCAAGGCTTGTGAGTATGTGGCTCATTTTTTGTTAGTTACATAAGCCAAATTTTAAATTACTAAAGATCATTTAATCTGTTAGAGCAAGAAATTGCGGTATGTCGTAACTACATGAACAAACATGAATCTTTTCCCCCCGGAGTTCTACCTGAATGTGAAGGTGGGAAAGGATCTATTATAAAGACACTTTAAAAGCAACTGAGGGATGCTAAGATTCTACTTCTCCACCAAGGTCTATGTGGATAATAAACCCACCTACCCAGAGTGAAGCTGGTCCCTGCATTAGGAGGCAGACCCAGGGTAGCAGGCGCTGGTGGCTGCAGTCAGTTCTGAGGTCTTAGGTTAGGGGAGGGGAGGCACAGGATTAAGTCTCATGGCAAATATACAATGCTAACGCTTCCGTGGTGTTTTCTATGAATTTTGAATAAATCCTCACTGTTCCTCTTTCATGTGAGTCTTCTGGTACTCTCCTAAAAACAACTTGAGACCCTATTGGTAAGGGTGTCTGAAACCCAGAGGCTACGTTGGATCCTACCTCAAAATGAAGAATAGTGCTTTCCCTGCGATTATGAACCACTGGTTTAAGGTGTCTTAGTGGGTATTAGGACAAAGACACCACATGGGAGTAAATTTCAATGGAACTGATTAATTCCCATTTCATCGTTTCTTCCAGAATATCTGCATGTGCGTCTGCTGGATCATGGACAATTTCCCCCTCAACCCTGGGCCCTTGGGACTGAGGTTCCCAAATTATGAGGTCAGGGGATTGCACGTGCTTACTGTGTGGCTGCAGTGTCCATTCAGGTGCAGGCCACTGTCAAAGAGAGGCGACGAGGCCCTGCTGCTGTGGTCACTGGATGGCCCGGGGGACCCTGAAACAAAACGAAAGGCATTCATTCCAGATGTGGTTGTCAGCTACATCACGTGTGACCATATGACTGCAAGATAGCTAAGCACGCTACTAGGACCGGCAGTCCATTGCGAGGCCCCTCTCAGAGATGTTTGGGGGTGACTCTCTGGCCTACTTTATTAGCCAGAGGTTCCCCTCCTTTCCTAGAACCTGGCCATCCCATCAGTGATCCTAATGCAACCACTTGCCAGGCGTGTTACAAAGCACTATCAGGGTGCAGAGCAGGGCTGTGTCTACAATAGGACCATGTGCCCTTGCAGCCTCTCGCCTGACTCCATTATTATGACATATTCTCTCAGAGTTGCTGATTGGTGGATGGCATTTGGGTCTGTCAGTGCTACAGACAGGCAGCATGAAAATGTAGACAATGCAAGCAAAGAATGGGTAACCCTACATTGGTCACACTTCCCAGCTTTTAAGAACTGAGATAAAATTCATTTGTGTATTATTTACAAATGCAATGAATTCGCTTGTATAAAAAGAAAAAAATAAATGTAGCATGTGTACCGGCAGTAACCAGCCCTGCTTTCCAGATTGGGTGGCTGATAGAGTTTCCTGCTGTGTCTTTTGGCAGCTAAGCCACCCGCTCTTATGGGAGATGATCTGACTCAAAAGGTTTTCTCGGGGATAACATGTAAAGGCGGTTCCCAGCACATTTGACCCAGTCCAGAGACAACAAGTGTTCAATTACTGCAGCTCCCTTTAAAATCAACCCTGCGACCGGCTTTCACACAAACTCAACAATCAAGTTAAACTAGTAGTTTCATTACGAATTGTTAAGGGAAGCTTGAGGCCATTCCCAAGGCTTCAGGCCATTCACTCAAGGTCTCGAGGGTCACTCTAAGAAAAAGACTGTATTCTGTGACTACTCCCAGCCCCACTGTTTTCTGCAGACAGTAAGTGTGGGCAGACCCAGTGTGTCACTTCTTCCATTTTTGTGGTAATGTCTTATAAGGGCAGACAGCTAAACACCACTGCCTGATGACCAGACTCCCATAGAGAATGAACATCTGGCAGCACATAGGAAACCCTCTAGAATCCAGGAGCAGAGAGACGCCCCTGAGATTAGGCCTTCTGAGCCTTTGGAAAGCAAGCAGAAGTTCTGAGGACAACGCAGTGGCAGACTAGCTGCAAATCGTGGTGATTATGTAACGCTATCAAGAAAAGGAAACAGGGAGGCAAGTCCTCTCCCCACCAGCCACCTGCAGGAAAACACAGGGAGAAGGGAACCAAGAACTTGGTGGCACCATACTGCATGTCAGTACTTGATCATGTCATCTCATCCCTGGGACTGTGTGTAGTAAACCGTCAGCCCTCCTCAGTGCACACGGACATGGGGTGCCTAGTGACAAAAAAGGCTCAGAGGCTGACTGCTCATCTCCAGTCTACCTGTGCACTTCCCGACATGCATACCCCAGGAAGTCAGTGCCCCCTTTCCCATCTACGCCGTATCTGTTAGGACAAGGACTATAAAGCACTTCACCATATTCTTATGTGGTCTGGGAGACACAAGAACTCTATGTGTTTATTTGAATAAACCACACTGACAAGTGAGCATTTCTCTGCTCATTTAGTACCCCAGATACATACAGTTGTTGCCTAGTGGACTCTATCCCAGCTCAGGCTTTTGTTACTGTATATTACAGAGTGCTGTTTTTTGCAATAGCACTTAATATTTTGTTGTTATTGTTGTTGGTCTTGTTTTTAGCATTTCATGTACACTTTAGGATAGTCCATGCAATGCTTTACAAAGTCTTTCATTTATATACAGAACCAACTTGTCATTATTTGTAAGAAAGATGAAAACATTTTGAACCGCCTGTATACCCCTAAATCCCTAAGGTAATGCTGTTGCTCTGGGTGACACATGATAAATGCCACCATAAACACATGTCTGAAGAAGCAATGGGTAGTAAGTGCAGAAATTTAAAATTGATAGTCTTTTGTAGACATTGGATTCATTGTAGAAATTCATTAATTTCTCAGTAACTGTCAGTTTTTCTTCTGTATCCCCAAAATAGCTTCACCAGATCATCCATTTATGTGTGTGTGTGTAGGGGGAACATGCTCCTCTGTGAGAAGGTGCATGTGTGTGGAGAGGTACATGTACATGTATCCATGTAGGTTTTGAAGTCAGAGGATAACTTCATCCACCTTTCCTCAGGCAATCTCCATCTTGTATTTTGAGTTGGGTCCTCTCACTGGCTTGAAGCCCACGAAGTAGGCTAGGTAGGCCCAGGAAGCCTCATTTCTCTGCTTCTTCTGAAATGGGATCATAACTGTGTCTCTCAATGCCTAGCTGTTTATATGTAGGTCCTGAACAATGTTTTCAAGACAAGTACTTTATTGCCTAAGCTATCACCCAACCCAGTATTAGCAATTGTTTTTTCTCAATATATGTTTTTATTTAAATCAGAAACGTGAATGTTTCACATGTCAATCCCAGCTCCCTCTCCCACCCCTCCTCCCTTGTCCCTCCACCAGCCTCCCCAGCCCCCCACCTAATCCCCACATCATTCCCCAGGGAGGGTGAGACCCTCCTTGGGGGGATCTCTAAAGTCTGTCATTTCATCTTGGGCAGGACCTAGGCCCTTCCCCATGTGTCTAGGCTGAGAGAGCATCCCTCCATGTGGGATGGGCTCCAAAAGATCATTCATAAACCATGGTGAACACTGATCTACTACCCAAGGCTCCAGTGATTTCTGTGGCCTCCTCCCTGGCACTACGTTCATGGATCAGTCTCCTATTGGCCTCTCAGGCATCAGTCTGGGATTCAAGAGCTCCCCCTTATCCAGTCAGCTGTCTTTGTGGGTTTCACCATCATGGTCTTTACCCCTTTGCTCATCACTCCTCCATCTATGTCACTGGGTTCCAGGATTTCAGTTCAGTGTTTAGCTGTGGGTATCTGTCTCTTCTTCCAGCAATTGTTAATTGGATAAATAGTTGTTATAAAAAAACAAAAGGAAAATACATACAATCGATAGTTACAAAACTCTTTCCTTCAAGGACTGTACTATAGTCTATAAAGCTCTATGGCTACTTTGGCTAGAGTCCAGACAGCAGAGCCACAGAAGGAAACATTCTGGAAGATGCTCTAAGCTAAATATGGCAATATCATAGGGCCCAGAATTCCCTTCTCTAGGTAGAGACATAACAAAGATGTCCAAACAAAGCCTGTTGATGAATGTTAGCAGCAGCATATTCATAACAGCCCAGAAATAGAAGCAAGTGTTCGTTAGCTGAAGAGTGGATGGAGCAAGGCCCTACAACCATATAAAGCAGAGTTATGCAGCTGTGGCAGATGCATGCTACCTCACCAGTGAACTTTGAAAACGTCATGGTATGTGGAAGGAACAGCCAGCCAAGGTCACACACTGTATGAGTACACTGATACACATTTCCAGAAAAGGCAAATCCACAGAGGCAGAAAGCAGTGACTTTTAGTGGCTGGGGGAGCAGAATAGGGGCTGAATGCTAGCTTGTGGGGGACCTCCTCTGAGTAGCGGAATGTCAAGAAATGTAATCAGTAGTGATGGTGTATAACACAGTGAACTACCATAGCAATGTGCAAGGTCTATCTGTATAAAAATGCCAAGTGTCTGAGATTCTGAAAAAAATACACAGGTCTGTTCACTCAGTCCCACTGGCTATTTATTTTCCCATTAATATCAATTTAAAAATGCTGAAGTGGACATTTTTCTCTACTGTTGTTATGTTTTTCTAGATCAGCAATCACCTCTGTGGGGCAGATGTTGCTTCAGACAAACAAGCAACCCAACAGAATCCACTCAGGCAGAAGCAATTTTACCTCAGTGATGTGTATTCATCAGAGGCCATTTTGCATGGATTTATGAAATGATTATGGCCCTTGTGTTTAAATTTTTATAGATACTGGGATTGAACTGTTTTAGGTTGTAAAGAACCAAATAAAAGGAGAATGCACATCTCTAGAATTAATGGAGAACTCGGCGTCTATCCCTGGAGCTCTCTGCATTGTCCCTGAGTAGCCACAATGCCTAGGCTCTGCACAGGCCCTCAGTAAGAAGGCTCACAGAAGTCCCTAGATAGCAGAAAGCTATGGGCCAAACACTCAGATTCCAGTCAAGCCTGTGAATAGAAGTACTGTAAGGTTTCTGGGTTTCAAGAGTTTGGAGGGAAACAGCAGCTTCAGAGTCATGCTCACCTTTCCTTTTCAAGAAACAGATGTTGAGATCCTTGTGGCTGCCAGTTCTACAAGTGTTAGCAGACACCAAACACTCACCATCTCTTTCTCAAGAAATGTTATTGACCTTTGAGGGAAGGTAGGGAGAGCTATGTAAGTGTTCTGTTGTTGTCTATGTGGTTCCTGCTGTCTATTGGGCCAGGCTATAACTACCCCTGACTTTCAATCTCAGTACAAAGGCACACTCAGAACACAAAGTTATGCCCATGAAGCAGGTGAAAGACACTCACCTGGAGGCAGGATGCTATAGATGAGACTCTACTTTGCAAGAATAAAATGGAAAAGAAATTTAACACTGCCACAAATCATATCCTGGGGAACAGTGCTGGGGGTTGGGTACAGCCTCCCTTTTACACAGTATTACAAGCTCCCATCACTTCCAATTAGGAGATTCCCAGCATCCTTATGTAGGTTGGATACATGTGCTTCAAAGACCACACACTAAAAGGCTTAGTCTCAGCCTGCAGCATTACTGGTAGGCAGAGGATCTGATAGAATGTGGCACTCATGCAGACGATATCTAAAGGGAGGTGTTCATCAAATACCTCTGCTCAGAGCTTAGGGAACTCCATGAGAGTGTAGGCAGGAAGAGTGTAAGAGCCAGAGGCACGGAGGACACCAGGAGGACAAGGCTCTCTGAATCAGATAAGCAAGGTGCATATGGGCCCACAGAGACTGGAGCACCAAGCATAGGGACTGCATAGGTCTGTCACCAGGTCCTCTACATATATAGTGTAGCTTTTAGCTTAGCATTTTTATGGGACTCCCGAGTGTGTGAATGAGTGGGCCTCTGACTTTGGTCCCTGCTCTTGGGACTCTTTTCCCCACTGGGTTGTCATGCTCAACTTCAATATGGTAGGGTTTTTTTCTTTATTGTATTATATTTTATTTTGTCCAGAAAAAAAGAGAGAAGAGAAAAAGAAGCGGCACTTAGTGGGAAGAAGTTAGGTGATGTACCCTTGGCACCTTCTTATCTCTCTCTCTCTGCTTTTTGACCACTAATGTAAGCAGCTGCCTCTACCGTGCATCCCTGGTGTGGTGCTCTGGGCCCAAAGCAAGAGAGTCAAATGACAATGAACTGAAATCTCTTCAACTGTGACCAGACAAACCAGAAATCCTCCAAAGGGCTGTTCCCCCCAGTGTTTTGTTTTAGCCATGGGGCACTGAGAATCTTTAAACTCCCCTCCCGGGGAATTTCAGAGAGGGCAGGCATTTTCTATCCTTGATGATCCATGAGTCCCACATTGATAGCAGTGGGAGTGGCCATCACAGTAGCCCACTCTGCTAGTCACACTTACACTTCTCACCCTGTTAGAGAACTTCTGTCTACATTCAAAGGGACGTATTTCCTGGCTCAGCTTTCCAACTACGGAGACCTGCTCCTGACTTCACTCTCTGAGTTTGTATAATTGGTCAAGAAGAGGAAATACTGAAAAGTACTCCTTATAATTCTCTCATTGTGTTTTATGTTTGTCTTCTTTTATCATCCTACTGTTCTTGTTCTCTGTGTGCGTGTCTAGGGCTCCTCCCCTCATTAAATTCCTTTATTTATTCCATTTCAAACCTCCCCTGATAGCACTGGTAGAATACCGAGTCTTGAACCACCCTGTCATGTCCTTCCCACACTATTTAAGTGACTTGTAGAAGAGTGCTTGTCACCTACTGCTCTTCCTCCATTTCAAGAACACAGGGTAGGTATCCACTTTAATCCATGAGTCTGCATACAGGGTCCCCATTTCTCTAATAGTGAATATCATGATTACTCCCTGTGGTCTCTTGGAGATGATGAGCTCAAGGGTCCCAGGGAGAAGACACTAGAAGGAAGGTCTGAATCTAATGACTCTTCGGACAGAGCATGAAATGGATGCATGGTCAGGATCCACAGCTGACAGAGCCTTGGGAGCAGCCCCCAGGCCACTTACATAGTAAGCAGGGAGATGCTAACAGCATGGTTACAATGATGAAAGAGAAGGAAGGTGAGCATGTGGGATGGACCACGGAGAAGGAGCCACGCTTTCTTGCAAGAAGCAGATGGAGAGAGGAGTCAGTCAGGACAGGAAAGAAAAGCTAGCCCAGGCCAAGTAGGCTCCTGCTGCTGTCAGCTGCTGCTGTACTTGCAGCTGCTGAAAGTTAGCTTTATGGAGGCTGAGCCTTGCCTTTCAGATCTGTCCTAGAAGTAGAGGACAGCATCCAGAAGAGGGCCCACTGATATCCAAAGAAAGAGCAGGACCTTCTGTTAAATGTGACATCTATGGAGAACAAGTTAAGGACACAAGCAATGCTCAGCCAAGAGCTTTTCTAGGCTTGACATTTATCAGAGTCCAGCTGGGTCAAATACAGGAGAGTATCACAAGCTCTGCCCCATCATGGTAGATACTGTGCAGTGTACGTTAGCATGACCAGACTGTATACTTAATATGAGGTCAACCTAGATATTATGGATACAAACTACTCGACATATATGCACGTGAATAAATGTGTAGGTATTTGTGTGTGCATGTGGGCATGTTAGTGTACAAATGAGTGTGTGCATGTATGAATGTTAGTGTATGTGTGAGAATATGTTAGTATGTGATTGTGTGTATGTGTGTGTGTGTGTGAATGTAAATAATAGCAGGGAGTTCATGTGAAGGAAGACACAGAGTTGTTTCTGATTATGATGCCTGGAGTACCTTAGGATCCTGTTGTCCTCTGTCTAAATCAGTCTTCTCCCTGAGCATGTTCTTGAGAAATAATTTATACCCACTGTGCCAAGATACATGGATAAATAATGTGGGAAGGAAGAGAATCCCACAATACCCTAAAGTCTTTCCCCTTTCCACTTACCTAATGGGAGCTTCAGAAATGAGGGTGCTTCCCTGAGGTACTCAACAGTGATGGTAACATCATCTCCAGCAGTTCTCAGAAGATGAACCTGTTCAGAAGGTGAGAATAGCCCTTCACCATCACAGAATGAGACAGAGTGAAAAACAAAGTTTCTGACAATCTTTCCTGCTCATGTCAGAGTTACTTCTGAGACACTGACACTCCATAGGACTAAAACGGGGTAAAGACAATTGGCTATGTGTATCTAAGAGTGCTTGTGCTTTGTCTATGGATGTGTGGACATCGAAGCACCCATGTTTATTCACCAGGCAAGGCTGCCGACATGACCCATAGTGTAACCTACCAGAAAGTAAGATCCTGTGCATAAGAACTCAGTTTTCTGGTACAAATAGCCAAATGTCAGACACTGGCAAAAGACACACCAGATGAGTGACTGTGATATAAACATAATTTCAAAGATCAAGTATCACTTTAAACTCAAGAAAATTCATGTGGGTTTGATTTTAGTAACACTTCTCATATCCATGTCATTACTTAGAGAACCTAAAGTCAGCTTTTGTGGATTTTATTAAAACACTATTGGTCTACATGCTATAAATCTATTAGGACCAATTGGGGCCCCATCATGCATGCAGTCACAAAGTTTCACCATCCAAGGCTCATCAACTGTCTCCTTGAACTTTACCACTGTATGCTCCTGACAAAACTCCCACATTCTCCCTGCTCTCCAATTTCTTCATACATCACCCTCGGCAATTCTTACTTGGATAACTACAGTGTAGAATATTGGTTTAAACTCTTGGGGGAGCAGGGGAATGGACTGAAGAGTGAAGAGAGACAGTTGAAGGTTCTCTGGCCTGTAGTATCAACATTTGTCTATGTCTTTCATGGTCAGGACTACCTACCTGTTCAGCTGCATCTGATCACACCCTCTGACCCGAACAGATCTTGAGATGACCAGACCTTTTAAACAGACCAGACATTTCTCTGTGCTGAATAGAGCCTGCTCTAGGCCACCTCCATGGCACGACTCTTCCACCATGTCCTTAGGCCTCTACTGGACCATGGCCTCACGCATACTTCCTTTCCACTGGAGTTGCTGAAACCTCACCCCTACCCTGCCTACTCTCATTATTCATTTTGAATGTCCCTCCCCTTATTGTTGTCACTAGTGACCAGGAGTTTATAGTACCCATGCCACAGACATGTCAAGTGTATTTTCTCCCTGTACCTACGAGGTCCTGAGTATTAACTTGCCTTATAGTTTTCAGGGTTCAACCCAAAGGCGAGGCTGAGCCAACCTGATCCCATCTCCCTACAGCATTCACCCCTTCACCTGCTGTTCATCAAGGGCACACAAACTAAGCAAAGGAAAGGACATATCACTCATCGCTCCCTGCCTTGGACAGCTGTCACCCCCAAATGTCCAGTCTCTATCTTCAAAATCCTGTTAGTACAAACAGACCAGAAGAAGTGTACTTCACACCAAGTAAGGAATATATTGAACTGAGCAGGATGAAGGCTCCTCCTTGCTTGGAACATAGCTCAAGAGGTGACCCATTGACACTTGTTCCTTAGCTAGTCCAAGGAAGTATGACTGTCTTTCCTTGGCAAGCAAAAATTCAGGAGTATGTGAGAAACGCTGCACCCTCTGTCTTCAGCAAAGGGATGGCCTTGTAAATCTCACCTGAGGATTCCTTAACTCTGGACACCAGATGCTTAACAGTGGGCAGGGGATAGCTGTAAAGGCTTGTTAGTGGGCATTCACCTGTAATATCCTGTATCCTGAGATGCCAGTGCAGATTAATTCCAAAGAACAGAGACAGATATGGTTGAGATGTGTGAAACTCCCGTTGTCACACCTTTGAACAGCTCTCTTCACTGCCCACACAGCACAGTCAGGTTACAACTGTCCTGTAGATCTGCAGGGGTGTGTGTGTGTGTGTGTGTGTGTGTGTGTGTGCACGTGCGTGCGCGTGCGTGTGTGCACGTGTGTGTGCATTCCCTGTTGAATTATTAAATAAAATAAAATTACATCTCTTTAATTCATTCCACAGCCTTTCAGCAGAGCAAGTGTGGCTTCAAGCATTAAATCTGTCATCACATATTTATATGATCACGTATTTATAGGTACCTTAATAGATAATTTCGCCTGAGAATAAAAGGGCCATCAAGAAGAGAACTTTAATTAAAGGTTAGAGACGTTTTGTTATTTCTTAAATCTCGAAATGCTCACATTTCTCTGATCTTTCAGGGTAATATGTGGTTGAGACATAGGTCGTGACTCACTAGCAATTCTTTCCTTCTAGGTCAAAGCCTGTGTATGGAGCAAGAAAAAAAAGGCATTGACCCTGGATGCCACCATGTTCTCAATGACCTACAGCTCTCTTTCTCCCTTGGCAGATTGCTGCCTTGGGCTGACAGGAGCTGGAAGCAGCTCCTTCTGCTAGCAGCAACCATATTTGCTTTTGTAATTGCTGCTGTTCCCCAGAGACAGCTGCTTTGAGCCACATCCCTGACTGTAGTACATATCTCTCTGGGCCAGTTGGTACAGACTACTGTTCTCATCTCTGAATTCTGGCCATGTCCTCATAGGTAAGCCTTTTTGAAAAGGATCCCACATCTTAATTATTTTCTATACTTCTACATGTGATTAGCTAAAGGTTAACTCTTCAGATTATCCAGACCCACAGCAAACAAACACTAGAAATTTCCTTCTCAGGGTTTGGGTCCTGGAGTTGGCAAATCTGAGCTCAGCACGTTAGCAGAGTTGATTCCCATGACACATTCACTGTCTTTCAGCAGGAGAACTGTGTGTTCACCCATAGAAAGAGACACTCTCATGTTCTTAGGGTCATCTCCCAAGGGCCCTACTTCCAAGTACTCTCTCTATAAGAAAGGACTGATGGCAGCCCAAAGTAAGGATACTGGGACCTCAGATCTATAGAGTCCCCCAGATTACTGGGGACATGAGTGGTTGCTCTGTTTGGGTAGACTTGAGGCAGTTTCAGAAGAGTCACTGCCCAATTTCAGATACAAAAGTATTTAAAAATACAATGAAAGAATGCATATGTTCTGTCATCATTCCCATCTCAAACTTCCAGGCCAATGTAAAGATGATTTTTTCCTTCTAAAAACAGTCATAGTAAAGTCCTGTCTCTGATCTCAGAGGAAATTTGGTCTTATATGCAAAAACCCATTTATCTCCATTTGCCTAGTGACCACATAAGAGAATCTTCAGTATCTGTGACGTGTAGGAGTGACACACCCTGAGATTATTCATGATATTTTCTCAATTTTTACACCAATGGATACATGCACTGAACCCTGGCAGAATGCCTTCTCTGCCTACAACAGACATCACATACTTATGATTTTCTGGCCTTTCTTGGACTCATGTCTGGTTCCTGTTCTAGGTTTACAGAGTCAGTCTGTCACTAGGGTCTTCTCATTGATCCCTGATTCATAGGCTCCGCCTGGTGTCTTCACAGCAGGAACAACTGCTGGTATTAACTGTGCTTCTCTTGCTGTCTCATGTTTTTTCTTTTATAAACTTGTCACCTCCTTGTTTAAATTCCTGTGTGAATCCTGCTTTAAATCTCCGACATAGAAAACAGATTTCTTGCAAGTTTGAAAGCTGCTACCTATCCAGAGGTATCACTTAACTGTGTCTCATAACCCTGACATCAGAAATCTTTCAATATTGTTCATGCTATCTTTTATGATTAAAATATTTTTATATATGCTTGTTTATATTATAGAAATGTATAAACCTTTCAAAGAAGAATAATTTTGTTGACCAGGAAAAATCTATGCTAGGATTCCTTTCGTGACTTAAACTGCTTCAAATATTCTATGTATTCCTAGTTACATTTGTATAAACAAAGCAACTGAAAAAATATATGGGAAACATGTAGATGAATTTTTAAAATAGCTATGTCCAAATGTGTGTATGTATGTATTAGTGTATGTTAGTGTAAGTGCATGTACAGGGCTCTGAGTGCATGAGTCCATGTCTGGAAATATGTATATGCAAGTGTGAGTGTATGTATTTATTCACCATAAAACTCACATTCTGACTAACTAAAAGAACTAAGCGTTTAGTCTCTTTCATTTCTTACCCCCAGCATTGCAAAGAGTTTGCAACATCTGTAGAAGAGGCAAAAGGGGCATCCACAATACTGTTCTCTTCATTCCAAGTACAGGACCAGATTGCTACAAGGTCTGGAAAATTCTATCACACAAAGAGACAAAGCTACATGGATTCTCCATGGAACACACCCTAGCTCACTTCCTTAGAAAACATATGACTTTCTTGATGGCAGAGCCCAGTGGGTTGAACTTAATTTGAGCATTTCCCCTTTACGGTTGTCAGTGTTCTTTAAGCACAGAAACCAAGAGTTAGAGCCTTGTAGACTCAAGAGCAGCATGCCGGCTTGGGCTTCAGCTGTGAGCATGGAGCCTCACCTCACCCTGAATATCACAGACAGCATGTGTCACAGGCATGCTCGCTGTGAACTGGATCCCACTTTCCAAGCTGATTCACACCAATGAATTGACTTAAATTCAATCTTTGCCTCCTGCCCCCAAATGGGGCACTAAAGAGACTCAGGCTGTGTAACCCAGTCAGAAAATATACCTCAGACTCATCCTAGTCTGAAGTAGTCACTGTGACTGTCTAGGCTCTCAGGAATACAGACGCTTTAAAATCTAGCCCATCCTCTTTCCCAAGATGGCATCTCCCCCTTCTCTCCCAGCATCTCCAACACCACGCCCGTCCTTTTCACTCATCTGCGGAAATAGAGATCTTTATTCCACACTTATGTGGAAGATGTGCTGTGTCTCCACCACCAGACTTGCTGCCTTAGAGTCGGGCTTCTCTCTGTGTCTGCTCATCCTCTCAGAGGAGGGTCTGCCTTTGTGTCATTCCAGACTAAGTCGAGCATCAACCTTCTGAGAGCAGCACTACACTTACTACATTATTCAACATGTTCATTCCGTGTTGAGCTTCAAAGTACCTTGAGGCAGAGAACAGTCTCCAAGGTGTGCTCTATGTACACCTGCGGCATTTCTACTTTTCTGACCACA